GCCTTCGTAACAGCGATAAAATCATTAAACATAGTTATAAATAATATTGAATAAAAGCATGCGTAGCATAGTATTGTTTTAAATGAGTCGCCGTTATCTTTCACAAAAAACATTTCTTTACAGTGTCTAGTAAGGATTACTGCTAAGATATTTCGCAGAAAGGCTGTCCTACGAATGTATTTGTTTTGCTGAAAATCTTCTAGCATGAGGTTTTCTAGACAATTCAGAATTTAATACAGATGACTATATACAATATCGCTTATTCCATCCATAATAAAAAATAATACGAAACTAAATCAGCAATTGCTACACCGAAATAGATTATCACGTAAGCTATGAGATAACTATTCACATCACACGTAACCGTACGTTAAAAGATATTATGACCGAGATACGAAGCTTAAAACTAATTTAAGCTAGCTTCGTGAATGAAATTTATTCTCAATGGGAATATTATATTTGTTGGTGGTCAGCAAAAAAGAACATTATATATATATATATATATTATAGAAGAACATATGAAGATGTGTATAGATATACAGTATCTAAGTAATTTTTTTCGGCTCAGATGTTTCTTGTCTTAAAAGGTGATATGCTATATTCAAGATAATAATAATGACAGGCAAAAACCATGATAAATACTGTATATAGGGACTTCAAGCAGTTGTATTATAAAACATGAGCAAGAGTCAGTTCTAGGATTTTTCTCATTTTGTTAACTTTTTTTAGAACCGGGGTTCGTTGCATATTTTATGTCACTTCCAGCGAAATTAGCAACAACTTCGTAAATACGTTTGTTAACTTGTTAGAAGAAATGATGATGATCATGACAACGTTATCATCAACTGTCAAAATGACAACAAGCCACTACTACGTTCACCACTTTCACCTCTCTAATTTTGACTTTACTAATGTCATACAGGTAGCGCTGGCGGCGCGCTCTAAGCACTCTAGGCTGTTGTGACTATTGACCCCGAGCCGTTCACGTCTCACGTATTCACTCATCCTTCTGTCGTTCTAAAAATTGGCAACAACAATAGGAAATTTATAACTATCGTTACGACACTAGCTCGACTGCTATACCCACACTGCTAACTATGAAGACGGCGAGTGACGTGACGGTGGTACTATAGTGATCACAGTCATGACTACCACCACGATCTTCATCATCGTCAGCGGCAGTGGCAAACAGTTGCTGATCCATCGTTCCCCGCCCTAACCCCGCTTATTCTTAAAGAGCAACCGCAGCAACTGTGAACGGAATCGATTCAGGAGAATCGCAGATATTGTCCCAGAAGGGCAGAACCAGTAGGAACAAAAGTGGTAACGACGATCAAGAGGGAGTAGAAATGTAACGTTGATCATCAGTTGTACACTACCAATCGAGGTTTCGTCCACTGAGGCTAGTAGAATTACAATACACCTGCGCGTGTAGCGACAGTCTTACTGGACTGTACTAAGGCCGTTCAGTCTCTCCGAGAATAGATGGCTACAGTAAGCATTCGATGCCATATCACTTCACCCTACACGTCGAATATTTTGCATCCATAAGCATGATTGTTATGACGAGCTGTAGTAAACGGTAAAATTCGTAAAAAAAAACTTAGTTGGAGGTTGTAATCATGGTCACGTTGATTCTTATTCTAGGTCGAGAAAATGCCTATGCTGGCTCAACTGACATCCTTTAGATCATAAACAGGGTGATCGGTTTAATATTGAACTTTTTCGAATGACTCACAAATAGATCCATCCGAAACCAGGTCTACCAGAGTAAAACTATTTTTAAGAACAATATAAATAAATTTGCAACTATTTTGGAAAACAGAGCTCCATCACCGAAATTTGATCGTAGATTCATGTCTTCATGCAGCGAGTCCCTAGCCGAGATGGTAAGCTGTCTCAGATGGCCCAAATCGACAGCATACGACATTGCAAAATAATACATGGCAGCACAACAAGCAGCATATTCCAGTACTGCTCAACGTAAAGTCCATGACAGAAAAAAAACCGTGCGGCCTCGAGTGAATCAACACTTAAAAAAAACCGCGTGCAATTCTGAGGATCCTTTCGCTTCAGTCAAGCCGTTCGCAAAGAGGGTTCACTATGTCGTTGACTATGGTTACACTGTTATTGACTGACCATGTAGACCTGAGAGTACACGTCATATAACATAAAAGTCAGACAGATGCTTCTTGAAGCCAATAACACCTTGATACGGGTTCGATCTTTCTCTCTTTGCTCCTCAATTTAGTCAAGACGGAAGGACGGAAGAATCTAAGCAGCAAGTCTCGGCATAAACAAGTATGGCTGACATACTGACCAGATTCGAAGTTGGCTGATTACTTTGAATTGAACATGGTTGAGCGTCAGTCCAAGAATATCAGCATGGCAATGTCGATTTGCACAATCATGCTGTCAAGAAGGACTTTTAGTCCAGGATTGAAACTGTAATTGAAGTGGACACTGAATAAGTATGACCGTTGAACACATGAAAAAAAAGCGTTGAAATATCAGTTTTATCTCCATGCAATCTTAGACCTAATACCAAAAAGTATACGTACACCATAAGTATATTCCTTCACCTAATATAAAAGTATGGCTCCATACCAGTTCAGTTTCGTGTCTGTTCTACTCCAGTCATACGCGATTGGCAATCGTCGGTATAATTACCGTTCGAGCACCACAACTGGTAGCAGTGGGGATCTGATATCATCGAAACATATGATGCATGATACAATGAGAAACCACTTCATAAAAAATTTAGCACATCTTGAGAATCGCTATCTTTTTCAAGTTACAATTATTCCATTTGCCGATTTCCGATTCTGATTGTCTTTTATGAGTAATAAATAAACATGGTGAGCTTGGTAACTTGAAATACTTATCTGAATAAATCTTGCGAATTGTTACATCCGGTGCTCTCGTTAAAAAATTGTTTACATGGCTGATGCTCACCTCTGCGTCACCACTATAAAAAATACATAGGAGAGAAGAGTTGTCGAGTGAGTTCGTCTTGAACTACAAAAAAAAATTTTTTTTTATTATTTTTTGCTTATTTTTGGTTATCTTTGCCATTATGGCACCTTATGGGTAAAGCTGATGCACCCTTCAGATTAACTGTAAGAATTGGGAAGCATACAGTTGGTCAGGGCTAATAATTAAGACTAAACAAAAAGTTCAGTTTAAGCCGAGCCTGTTGTACCTAAACGTACAATTCTTTTTCTAGCTAAGCTATATTAACATTTATACATTTTTTAAAATTGCATGAATTTACTATTAAATTAATCAAATTCTACTCCTCACTTAAAACAATCAGACTTTATATATGATTCTAACAGGGTAACAAAATACTTTTTATGTGGAAATACGTCGAATATTGGGCCCTAGTAACTGCAAGTCAACCAAAGAATGCCGTTACCGCTACTACAGCTGTCGCAGGAGACAGCAGAGAAATGATGAGACAACGAAATAGTAACTGATCTCAACTCGGCTGCTAGTTTGCAAAGAAATAGAGGAAGCATAAACCCAACAGTCTTTACTTTGACATATATCCATCCATCCGACAATGTTCAGCAGTTTAAATTCAAACAACAGAAGATTCATGGAGTACAGAGTTTGCGAATGCCCTAATTTTGTTTTGTGAGAGCTTTTTGAAATTACGGGTGTGTATGTGTACGTTTAAATCCCTGGCATATCTTACATACATGCAGCTATTCCATTAAACTAGTTGATACTCTATTAGTACAACCGCTGCTTTTGAGGAACAATGTAATGGATTGATTCACAGCACAATGATTTGCAAAAAATTAGGACAATGCTACGAAAATGATAGGACCACGTAGAAAACGTTAAGATCCGTTGCAAGTACTATGCAGAACACATCGTTTTCTGTAGTTGGGTTCCTTTCTGTGCAGACATCATTACAATATTATAAACGAAAGAGTTATAGCAATTTGGCACACATGCCCTTTATTTATCTATCAAACCTAAATAAAATGAGTCACACATTAATTATCAATAGCTGCATATCTAGTCACCTTTAACGATAAATAAAAAGACGTTATGAGCATGTTTATAGCATGCTGCTTGCGTGATAGTACAATGGCAGCGACGTATTTGTCGCCTTCAAATAAACGTAGAAACTTATTAGGACACAGTTTAGTTTTGAAGTTGGCCATAGATAGAAACCTTTCGTTCCATACTGGAAGGGGCTAGTTGTCTGAAGCCATGCTTAGCTGTAGTAGCACTAGATGTCAACATCGAAATATTTGTCGTATTCATTTCGCTCGCAACGCGCTAATTTTCACCAACTTTTAGAATCATGGAACTTTCCACAACTTCCCGCCCAACTGAAGTGCAAGTTACACGTTGAAATTTCGGATTGCTTAAGAGCATTATATGGGCCGCGCCTCTGACAGGCTGGTTGTTGTTCCTATGCAGCACAACTCACCTGAGCCACACTGCTGCAGTTCCATGAATTCTAAAAATAGTCAATTTAATACAAGATTTTAGGAATAAAACTAGTTCTTATTAATTAATTACTATCTTTTTATGAAGAAAGGGGTTTTGTGCTTATGTTAAAGCTTCTAAGAGCTTATGCTTTTTCTAGGTTCTCAAATAGTTGTCATAACACGCTAAAGGGCAATGATAATACTCAAACTATGTAAACTACAGATGTGTGCGTGATAAATGCTGTCTCTGAGACCATCTTGGACGAGCACTTCGCTTATCGGCTACACACTATTGATTTCGAGTAAGAAAGCATAAACAACCAGAGTGACAATACTCATAAGAAAGCAAAAGTCATTCAATTTACGAGCTACCTAAGTGTCAGCCTTCCCTAATAATTCTATACATATGCGTACAACAACAAATACGACAGAGAAATATGTCGTAAATCCAAAAGATATCTATTCCATATTGTTTATCGTTGGCTCATTTTTATAGTGATGATGATAAGCATTTTCTAATCCTCTGATTTCAGTACTTCGCTAACTTACCTTCGGCGAGTTCGAGATCGAGCTCTGACAGCCTTTCTAGGACATCTGGTGGCAGATCCAGGTGGGACAAATCTTCCGGAATAACACTGCTCATCTTGATCTCACTCGAGACACCACTAGCACTACCACCAAAACTGCGGTGAAGAGCAGCAGCTGCACTGACAGCGGCTTTGTGTGCGACAGTTGTAGGAGTCGTTCATAAGACACCGACCCGTAGCCACGAGATCTACACACACACACACTTAGGTGCGCACACCAAGCCAATCGGTCTGTCAGCTAGCCAGCACAAATTTAGTGATGATATCACTATATAATGTTGCAGTCGTTCTAAAAATATCCGCAAAGGCATCAAGATATTTGATGAAAATTGTAGGTATATTTAGGTTCTTTTACCATGGGCGACGTTTCCATTCAATACCACTTTGCATGAGTTAGGGTTTGGGTAGGCGGGTGCTTCAAAGGTAAAGTGGACATACTGCTACAACCGCTCCTGCTATCGATAGATAATGCAGATCAGCAGTAGTAGTAAGTAACGTTGCACCGAACGTTGGATGATGGCCTATTGTTTAGGACATCGGGGCCTTTCTAGCGGCCCAGGCCGCCCTACATGGCATACTGCAAATAAGGGCACTTCGCGCTCCGAGCATCGACCCGACACAAACGGGATATTTGGTTAATCGTGCTCGACCGATCACCTCACACACGAAAACGACAATACGAACAATGAAAAGCCTACGACTACTACTTCCACCACAAGCAGCAGCAGCGGCAGCAAAACCACCGCGATGACAGTGAATCCTAATGAAGATGATGTTAAAATCAAACTGGCCGCCGCACAAGCAACAACTAGTTCATACTCTTTTTCCATGCGCTGCCAGATGATGGGTACGTCTATATGAACAGTCATCCAGACAAGCAGTCGTGCTGGCAGAATTAGTAATATAAACAGTTGATCTTTTTTCACAAAACACGTTAGTGGACTCTTAAATTTTGCACAGCAAACTCGTACACTACTACAGAGACACGGCAGGGTCCGTCAAAACAGTGTATGGATGCAGGAGGCGCTACCACCTACCGGGGATCAGCAGTAACTCCCTCGGCATTGTAACGTTCTGCTATACATGCACACTCAGTTTGTCGCCGATGTGTCTGTCTGCCCGCTTGTCTGGTAGTCTAGCGCCGGCCAGGCAGCCAGCCCCCGTCTTTTGTTGCTCTCTCTGCGTGTACAGTCGATCTCGTCTGTCCGTCAGTCAGTTATTTCTCCCTGTGACACCAACTATGCGGGCGGCGAAGGCAGCTAAGTGCTGCAGCCCTGGTTGTTACGACGGAACTGTCTGACAACTGGTTCGCTTGCGCTCGCTTGGCCGTGTACCTACCGCCCGCCGCCGAGACTCTACCGAGCTGTTATGGGACGGCTCTGCTCCTAGTGCAGGCACTACGAAATTACTGCGGATACTGCTCTGCGTAAGCGTGTGTCTGGTATTGTGGGGAAGAGCCGTTGCGGTCGGCAACCAGCAGCGGACGGATGCAGCATCTTAAGCGCCTTTGGCAGCAGCCTTGTGCATATGAGTGTCGTCTGCCGCTAATTTCACTTCCGTTTCAACAAGGAATAAACAACACAAACACAGTTTAAGAAAAACAACACACTCTGCGGTGCAGTGCTCAACCTGGTCAAAAATCTGGCAAATACCTTTTCCGCGCTAAGTTTAAATACAGTGGTGCCGTGCTAAAGAGCGGCTAAAACACAGATGACGATTAAGCTATCTCGTAGATAGTACTTAATAAAGACTAAAGGTGACTTTTCTATCTTATTTATTTAAACGAGCTTATAGTTTGGCGGCAACATATGTGTAAACAATGTCCTTTCCCTGTCTCACTTCGCTTACTGACAACGATTTTCCAGCCTGAAGGTTACAACAGGATCAATTTACCACATGTTCTCCCTAATTAATTGGTGAGTTGACGAGCCAGGCTGAAGCTCTAATCGTGACTGAATACATAATATTGGTTGGGTGCTATCGTAATTTCGAACAAGTAAAACTCAATGTTATGTCAGCTTATTTATATTTTCGTCTAGGCTACCATAGTGTACTTTTGTTAGCATAGACATCATAAAATTAATTAATGATAAGTTTTTATCTACGCGTATCTTACAAACGTTCAGACACTTGTAGGTCGTGCCGAAGTTCGATCTAACTACCTTTTGAAGGAAAAAACCTTATTACTTCTCCACGTAACTATCGAGGAACTTCAATCCTGGTCTTTGGAAAATCAACATATTATTTCGTTATTTCCTATAATTTCTGAGGGCAGAAAACAAAATTAGAAGAGCGTTTTCAGAAACTATTGACTAGCTGTCAACCTGACCTGTGACCATGACCGATATATTTCTCTAACGTCTATCTCCTTGAGATACCGCTGTTATTCACCATCAAACGCGTTTCCCTTTGAATACGCGTATTGTCACAAATAGCACAAGTCAAAGCTTTAACTTATGTCTATTTGTTTTCCTCTGCCTCATTATGCCCTTTCACTGAGTTGATTTTCAGTTTCGCCTCTACACGAAGTGTATCTGTTATGGCGTCACAAAGATGCTAAATGAAGCACATCTAGTTAGTTACTCGACAGTAAACCACGTTATTGACGACCATTTAATATTTGACGAAAATCGCTTTTTATTTACTATTCAAATATTTCATTACGTCTCACTCATGTCCTTGTGTACAGGTGACGCCAAATAAATCGTGGAATGATAATAAATAGTTTTACGTTACTTAACGATATTTTTATAATTCATATAATAGTCGATACAAGTATAAATTCCTAGGTTGTCCAGTACGAGGCTTTGCATAAACATAATGTACTAACCTACTAATATTAATACGCACTCTGGACAACACTGCTGTCCAGAGCAGTTTACAATAACAGAACGTTTAAATTGGCTTTCAATGTCGGCGGACGAAACGCGCTTGTGCCATTTCGAAAGTTAAAACCCGAATGTCAATGTATCAAGTTTGGAATCACTTCAATTTTATATGAGTGAACAGATTAGGAAAACAAGAGGAGTACACTGTTTTGCGAAAGATTTATACAAAAGTGTAATCAGTTGATCCAGTTCTTCCTGCATTCAAAACATTCGACTTCATTTAAGAGCAGCTAGGATTAGCGTTCAGAGTCTAACTCAAATGTGTATAGCGGACTTCTTTGGCGTGGTTAGACACGCACCAAAATGCTATAGACAATACGTGGTCGTTGCTGCAGTTTTCTAGTATTAGCGGTCTAAATCACACGGCATTTGTCAGGATGTTACGATCGCCTCACCGCTTATTTATGTTCGTTATGGCACATATCAGTACATGGAAAATAACATAGATCTCATATTATAAATATACATATATTTCACATATACATCACTTAAAAAAGAATACACATTTGTTGATTCATATGGGGTTCATTTAGTTGTCAATAAGATTTCGGTAAGGTATTTTTTCCTATGCATAGGCACATAGTTTGTACCAATGCATGTTCGTTATGAGCTCAGATACGAATAGAAAGTCCCACAGAAGCGCTGTCGTGCTTAACATACCCAGCAGCAAGAGCTTCCTCATAAGTGAGAAGACAGGAAAACCGCAGATATTTCGTCGTTTTCGTTGTCTCAACCTGCATTTGGCGGAACACCAATTTACCTCTGTAAGAAATGGGAAATACAGATAATATTGTCGAACTGTTTACTACAGTAAACAGAAAAATCTGGTTGGTCAAATGTAAGCTGATAGACAGTGATTGAATACATGCGATATGGTTGACTCGTACGGAGAAATGGAGCGTGTTACAGTTTATAACCTAACAAAAGTATTCGGTTTCTTGCCCTAACTCGTTATTATAGAGTAAGTTATATTAACATAACTGACATTCGTGAGGAAGCGTACTTATGCACTCTGATGTTTTCTTTCCACGTTCCCGCATGGTCTGACAGAAAATCGTAGCTTCTTCTTCTTTCGGGATCTGGGTGCTCTAGGGCTAGCCGAAGAACTTCGCCGACGGGCCAGTCATTGTCATCATTTTTGTTAATTATGGCGCTTACCCACAGATTTACTTCATTGCCATCAGGACTTAACGAACCACCAAAACCGAGCTTTACCTAATTAGAAAAAAATGATTGGCACGGATAATCGGTACACGGCAACAATTATAACCTAAATAACACCGTTCTTTTTTGCACGATGCATCTGAACCAAATTTACCTATTAGATGAAAAAAATTGTTGAACGACAACACCGCAAACTATACTCGTGAATGTTACCGAGATTAAGCAAGTACGGCTAACAAAGGATCGTAATGGAGTCGAGAACTGTTAATACAACAATAGCTATAAGAACAAATCATTTAAACATCACCTATTTATAAACATTCCTTGAAATACTTGCTTTGTACTGTTCCATACGTATCGGTTTGGATATGAGCATGTCTCGTTTGTTGAAGCGGGCCTTGGCTATAAGCTCATCGATTCCCGAAAACGAAAATGCAATGCCTCGAGGACCACTAGCTAAGGATTGTGCAGCGATGCCTTCGTTTTCACGAACTACAGAGAAGTCCCTGTTGACAGAGTACCTATAACAAGGCACAATACATTCGAAACACTGGATTCTAACTGCGTTAGGACTTGTTTTGATGGTTATACTTCATTCCATATAGTTTATTCAATATGGTGTGATTTACCACCCTTTTGTTTCGATTAGGAAAACGAGAAAAACTCCTTTCTTTTTATAAATCGAACCAAACATCGAAACTCACTAGGACATACTCGGAAATATTAAATTATCATATCCACTGAGGCACAGGCGGCAATTAGGATTAAACCTAACTTATTAGTATGGCTTTAAAACAAACACTTACGTATTGGTCAGCCTATTCTCCAGAGTCATCTTACGGTCATGCCATACAGCGTAAATAGATCTTGATCTTTCGTGAGAGTTCGTGATTTCGTGAAATTAGATAATTAAAATATACACATGCGTATAAAATCAACGAAAATGAGTAACAATAATCGATGGCTACTAACCAATGAACAATGAAAGCGGTAATCATGGCAGTTAAAGCTATTTCGAAGAAACCATTTCGGAATAGTTCTGCCTTCGCTTTATAACCTCCTTCAGCAGTTTTCTGAGTCCCTTCATGATTTTCTCGGCCGTTCGTTCGTTGCCAGTTTTCGAGTTTTTTAGTAACTGCATTGAGCCGTTCCGTCACGTCATCCATCTTATCGTACCAACAATTCAACAAGAACATTTTTTTACACTTAAGTAACTTTAGGTATGACTGTTGCTTTTCTATAAACGTTAATCATACGTAAGGCTTTAAATGTTACACTGATGCCGATTTGCAAAATATCAATGTGGAATTAAGAAAAAAAATCGAAATGTAACGTTTCCTAACTTCGTTGAGTTTTACGATTACTACGGAAAATGAGAACGTGACCGAAGGACAGTCTCTTCCTTAATACGTATCGATAGAAAAACCTTCAAATGTTGCTTATCTGTTATAGGGTTGCGTAACTTTCCGAGCACTCTGAAACAGTATATTGATACTTCTCGTTGGATAGCTATCTGCTTTATTCAGTAAAACCTTTAAGAGATTTAGAATAAAACTCGAATTTTTCTCTGACTGCATGTTAAATCTACGACTGGACTGAGTCATATAACAAAGTTAAAGGAAAGGTGCTCTTCTTCTTAAAAAACGGCCGTGATTATAGCTAGAGAAGAGAATATTTATCATTTACTGCCAAGTTAAGCAAGTGAAAGCTCATCATTCGTATATGAATAGTCCGCACATTGTTACGAAGTTGAGTTTTAAATAGCTCAAGTACTGGCATATTCACGGGTTGCATTCTGCTCGAGACTGTACACACTGTTGTCTAGCGTCAATTTAGCCGTGGTGAACTCTATGAATTGTCGCGTTTATGCATTATTTAGGTATAAATCATTATCCGTGGTAAATTCCGATCAATGTTTGCAATTATACTTAATATGCATATGTCGTCAATAATATTTTGCGGAAACGATGCCGTATACCAATAAGGTTGTCAAAGCAACCGCATGTGACACTTTGATGACAACAACGATTTGTTGGACAACGTGTGCGAACATACGATGCTTCCATGTAACTTAACGTATATAAGCACTACTAATAAGTTGAGGGTTTGTTCTTTAGGGTCACTTTGTTTATTCTTTTTCAATTTCTTTGCGGAATTACCGTCAACGTCATTCGATTTCATTCATGTATGTTCGAAATGCAATGATTCAGATAGCCCTCAAGGTAGCCATCTATTATAATTCAAGTTTGCCTTTGAAAATGTAGGGTTGACAAGGGCGAAACTGTGGTAAGAGAAGAGCTAGATATTTTACTTTTTTGTTTGAATCAAAAATTGTTGGCGAACTGCCACAAAATACCTGTTTTCTGACATATATATGTGAAAGTGAAAAAAAAAAAAATAATGCATACCTCAAGAAACAGATTAAACGAATAAATAACCGCTAGTTGATTTTGCTATATTCTAACCTGTTTTGATAGCCCAATGAGTGTAAGTTGTCGCTTAGAATTCGCAGCGTTTTCCATAGATGAGGCGACCGATAATTCAAGACTTTCGGAATCGTAACCTGACAGCAGTCGAAATTTGCAATGCTCCCTATGAGGTGCCAATTCAACACTCGAACCTAATTTTGCCAATTTAAATAACAGCAAAAATTTACTAAGTGAGTAAAACAGTAACTTCGGCATGTAACGCCAAGATAGATAGATTATTTAAGAAAAAAAGTTTTCTGTGCGGGGGATAGGTGTATGATTTTTCTTATGCTGTGATAAATATCCTGTCTTCCGTACTATGAAGAGAAATTAGTTAGCACAAGATAGACAAGGAAGGTCAAAAGCGTATATGAAGTCCCGTTATACAAAATGTATGTGTGTATTTTCTTCAGAGGAAACTTCAACCTCTGAGGACCAATAATGTTGTGGAGATGACTTATCAGTTTAAAATAGTTGAGGGGTACTTTTCTGTTATCGATACTACCCGAAATGTAGAATAACTGAATCCAGCTCACCTATGAAGTCGCATCCATCATTTATACAAAACAGGTTTTCTTTCGCTCTTTCAATTTCTTTGCCATCATCCTTGTCCAGACCTTGTAGGGTCTCGGCATCACTACTGCAAAAAATACGATATCGTGGAAAATGAATATGATAACTCATTTCAGCAGTGAGCTGTAGAAAAGCAAAAAATTAAGGTAGTTTACGTATATGAGTTCTATATTTAAATTACAGTGGCGGAGATGGCTCGTCATATAAATCTTATATTCGGTAAGGAATCTACTACTGGTATCTGTGTAAGCCGCTGGTTTTAGAAATTTCGGAAATTACATTTTGACCTCGAAAATAAGTCTCGTAGAAGACTCCCTGTGGAAGTAAGCAACGAAATGTTGAGAGCCGTAATGGAAGCCAATCCATTTTAAAGTGCATGGGTGTTAGTAATTATGTTTAGTGTATGTAAAGCTAACACACGTATTTGCTTCAATCAGATAAGGTAACAATAAGGATTGCTTCTCTTTGTTATCAGCTTATAACAGCAATCCATATTTACACTTGCAATGAAAGTGTATCCTTTACAATGCACGCAGATGATCACATCAATGAACGGATAAAATTGAACTTGGACATCAAAGCAAATGCAAAGGCGTATTAGCCTTTGATATCTGTTTGGTTATCCACTGCAGCTTCATGAGTACTCATTTATCAGATAGGGCTAAGTGCACTTGTGGATAATAAACAGGTTTCGTATTAAGTAACCAAATTCAGTGAGCTAAGCTAAACCACCCTTATTACTCAAGTGCATCCAGTCACGCACCACAAGGATTACAGTGACAAAATCCTTCGAGTAATAATAGGACGCTTTCCGTCATTTACTGTACATTGCTGCAACAGATTACCACTTTTTTCAAAACCTTTATGGCTACTTAATAGAAAAATCGTTGAAACTTCAATTTAACCTCAGAGTTGTTCTTTTTAAATTTTAGAGACTCTCGTACCCCAGCCTTACACAGAAGCGAAATAAACAAGTTATTATCCAAATAATAACATATAATCAGCACCTACCTGGCTGCCGAAATAACTCGCATGTTCGATCTGTTTAGCTCTGCAGCATTTAAAATACAGAGATAGCATTTCTCGACGGTTGACTGAGCACCACGAAAACAAGCTCCACAGATCTGATGACCACATGATAGTTTGCCTACCTGCAATGCATTCAAAAGTATTGTCCCGCACATGTCTGCCTCAAATTAATAAAAACATCAAAAATACCGTTACGTAAAATGAAACTTATGAAGCACACTGTAAAAAACTGATGTAATGCACTTGGAAAGTTATCCAAGCCTGTGGAAGAAAAACAAAGCAATTCTTTATATATTATTTATTTTTTATTCTGTAAATTGATACTCAGATAATGGCGCGTATTTTCTATGACAAAAAAGACGGAAGACAGTCCAGTTGAATGAGGCTCAGAACACATCAAACTTCGGTTAAAATCGCAATGGTCCTTAAAAGCTTTAGTCATATTGTGGTGTTCCTTTGGATTGTTTCCCTACCTTTTTTGTCCTAAAATGAACGTCACTGCTTGACTGAGTATGTTTTTTGCTTCCAGAACTTCCTCCCGTAGGTGATATTTTCAGTGGCGGACTTTGAAATTGAATAACTTTGAACTAGTTGGGTTCGAATAACGATTTGTCAATACGCATTAGAAGTATTCTCTTTAATGTGGTACACTTGTCCCAGCGCTCTGGCAGTTTTTGGAAAGCCATATAGCGCTCGGTTGAGTTCTCATATGTAATTTTTTTCTATCTATGGCTTCCCGAAGGAAATCTATCGCGGAATAATATTTCCTATGAGTTACCCTTTTGAATACATGGAAAGGTCTGCAAGCACACAAACTTAGATGGGGAAAATGGGTGAGTTGAAGCGAACATTGGATATACCTTTGCTCAATCCAGAAAGTAACTGAAGCGTGGCGACGAGGTCTGACGTTGTAACCAGATTGCGTGCTTTCGACTGGCGTGCCAACTGTCCATGAACCTCTTGAAAAGCCCGAGATAGCAGGCTGTGTTTATTTTCGGCTAGTACATAGTTGTGGTTGCCCCTGATATCCATTGTGACTGTTACCGTAGCTTTATGTCCAAAGTTACTTGAGATCACCACCGAACTTGATTTCTCTCCAAGGCAACTCCGTTCTTTCTTTGGCTGAAGGTAGATTTTGAACGATGCCTCCTGTATGGCGACCATATGTTCCAGCCAGGTTTTGTTAGTTCCACAAGTAGAATACACCATACGCATTTCTAATAAGCCTGGCATCAATTAACACGGTCACTATTTCTTACTTAGTTACCGCATTGTCAGTGATTAGATTATAGTTCTGTAACATGTTGCATGTGAAATGCCAATTTCGGCTCACAAAGCCTTTAGATTCGAAACTTTGCTGTCGTGAAAAGTCTTTTCGATTGAAGCAATGCGTTTTAAGGCTTCGGGCTCCGACATTTGATCACCTCTTCGCTGGTCTTCAACTCTCCAATCTGCGTTCTCGAGACATACTGTACATTCGCTTAAAGCGTTCTTGCCTAAGGCTTTCACTAAACCTACATAAGTTTGTGGCTTTGGCCTTCGAGAAACAAAAACTTGACCATTGAGCGTTGATTTTCGAAACTAAGAGACGTATTTCCTTCTGAAGTTATTTCCCTTAAAGTAAACTCAACTTGTTCACTCACAAGCTTTTAGAAGACCGTCTGCTAACCATACGTAGTTCAAATGTCATTCTATTTCAAAATCCGCTGGATTGGCTTTTAATAGCCTACAGTATATCTATCATTTATTATATACAATACAAATATTTACGATGATTCACCTGTTGGCGTAACTTTTTGCAAAAATGGCACTTGAGTTCCATTTTTTACTTCGATTTGTTATAGGAGCACCGAACTCAATTTTTTTGTCAGTATGGATACCTTCCGAGATAATGATGCGGATTGCGAACAATGTAATAGAACCTGCAAATTGAACAAAGCCATAACGAGTAGTTATCAATAGTAGTAAGCTAGTTTCCTTACTGCTGGTGTGATGAAAAATAATTAACGAAGTGAGTGTACGCTCCGATCATTTGAGACTTAAGAGAGGAATTATCTATGTAGAGGCTATGTTCAGGTAAAAAATGATCGGACAATTGAATAGAAGCTGCACTTACTATCTATTGGTTTCAATACCGTAGAAGAATCTTTTTTCATTGATAGTAATTATATCATAAGACAAGTACCTCCGTAAATAATTGCGAAAAAATATATTTCGGACAATTTCTTGTTTCGTAGCTTTGCTTTTCTAGAGTTTTGTTTATATCTCCATGTACCATTCATATAGCGATTCTAGTTATTATAAAAACTCCATAATTGTATTCAGAATAATATGAATTATGGTAATCCGGTAACATCGGTTTAATACGCAACGACTTTTCATCACAATTGATTATGTAGAATGATAAGGTTATAATCGTGTCGCGCAGTTTGGGAGTAAAATATAGCCGATGTTCATGAATAGCATATTGCTATTAGTTACAGTTTGCGTATAAGCATTTTACAAAAAATCCGCTTTTGCTTAAGCATAGTGACTTGACAAACGGCGTTGGACCCAATTCAGCGTAGGGCAAAGAAAGGATCAGAAACAAGGACAGAAAAAGGCGCTTAGTCATTTTCAATCTTCTGATACTACATCGTATGTGTGCTCACGGCCATTTGTAGCAAAGACCTTTACAGGTACCTACTCTGCCGCACGGCTAAGTTCTAAGCCGGTGGCAGGCGTACCTATTACTAGAAATGCTTGAAAAAAGTCAAACCTCATTCACACAGCAGGTACACTAGTTGATGAATAAAACTTCGTTGTAGACTGCAGTGTTGTAAAGTCTGCCACAACGTATGACGCAATGCGAGGCCTGAATCTGTAAACAACTGCTCAAAGTTTCCTGCATCCGACTGATTAAAGTTACTAGGTGCAAGCGTCGCGTAGTTAACACAGTTAATTCATCTTTAAGAATCCACGATCCTCGTGCAGATTCTTGTTGCTGTGGTGACTATTTGTAATTAATTCGATTCCTATGTAGCTGCTTGCTGCTTCGGTCGACAGCCAATCGCTGTTCACCCATATAGTAAAGAAAGTTCTGGCATGAACAAGACCAGACGCCACATACACAGCTGAGCGCCACTGAAACCTGTTCCGGAATAACACACAACATTCACAATAACTGCACGCCCCTTTCCCCTCGGTGAGAGTGAGGATCCATAAACCTGACCATGGCGTTAGATCGAAGGAGCTCGAGGAACGATGCCTTAAGCTCGACTGCGTTTCGAAGTTGTGCCACCATTACTATGATAGTAATATTGTCGGTGCAAAGCTTGCACCGACAGATGGCGGTAAGTAAACACGTATGGGCTCATCTCATTAACTGTATCAGCTTCGGTGGACAAGAAAGGTAGGAAGTTCACGGATGCTGTCTGGGCAGCGCAAGATCTGAGCAAACTTTTAAAAATTAATTGGGATATGTATCATTGCCAATAAAACATTTCTTTCGTAAAATGCTATCTACGGATGTACTGCTTGCTTATCACAGCACGTACGTCAAATTCAACAAGTTAGTATCATCAAGTTGTGCCAGTTACGCGCCAGAAAATTCAAAGCAGACATTCGTTTTTGAAGAGTCTGGCGAAGCGGAAAGAGGTAGAGTTGCAGCCGACGCCGTCTTTCTCATTGGCAATAGCTCCTGCTCGTCACTTCTGCTACTCAATCGACGTCGCTGGGTGGTATTGTTGACGGCAATAGTGGCTGTAGGCAGCAGAATCTAGGATGGCTCGTGGCTGCCGCGGGCGTTTGCCCTTTCCCCTCGGTGGGGAGGAGCGAGCGTTTGCTCATCAGTGTCGTTCGGTCGGCGGTGGGGTGCGTGCGTGCGTGCGTGCGTGTCGTATGCTATGTGCTGCCACATCATGTGTTGGCAATAGTAGTGGCTGCCGTAGCTGCGACAAAAGAAGCACAACATAACATTGGAAAAATCGTACACGAAAAACAAGAAAAAGTGTAGTTTACTGAGTTTTTTTTTAAATGTATTTGGTTTCCGACTGTTGCTAAAAATCAAGTGCAGAAAGCGACGAGAAAAAGTGTCGAAGAAGGGCGAGGGTGCAATAGGCTATCGCTCTTACAAAATTGTGCTTCCGTCATCTCTACTACATTTACTTCCGAGCGGATACACTGCAGAATTCAGCTGCTCTTCCTGCCGCCTTCCCGGGATACTTACCTCCATCCAGCTGTCTAGTTCATTGATTTCTGTTCAGTGGTAACATTGATTCGGTCGGATTGTTTTCTCGTTCATTTCCATTGTTATTAAGTGTTCGTGTTGCAAGTTTGTGTTCCTCGTTGTTGGCGAACGCCGTATGTAAGAGACGCTATGGCGACGATGACAGCAAATACGGAGAATCCGGCGAACAAAACATTCACTCAGGTCCTGCAAAAGCACGCGGGCCGAGCCAAGGAAAGGGTGAGCGTAACATCCTATAGGTATTACACACTCGTAGGTTAATATTACTGTTACCCTACGACGGTGAGTTATTAGCTTCCTTGCCAAAGCTGTATGGAAAACAACCGAATCTCCGTATAAGGATAGTGAAGGCAACGCGCGTTATCTATACACACGCCGCCGTCAGCAATGTGTATTATCAAGAGAAGTTTGGCTGTACGCAGATAGGGCGGTGTATCGAAAGACCAATCAATCAGCACACGAATACCGGAGTGATTTGTAAACGGCAATGCGTAATCAACAACAGAATGTTGTCCTTTGTATATACGTGATTACTTTCAAATGGGGCTAAACATACCAGATAATACTAATAGGAGATGAAATGAAAGTCGCATGCAGAATTTGCTACGTGATACACACTATCTAAATTGGCTAAAACAAGCACACTCGACTTAACAATGTTACACGATATTATATACGAGACATAAATATATATTAGTGTGCAATAACACTGTATGTTCATCGACGACGGACCCACCTACGGCGTTGTCGCTTCTCGGGAGTTACCATTCGACCGCGATTCGTCCAGCTGATGATAATGGAGGTGGTGGTGGTGGTGGTGATGATGATGGCATAGGACATCGACTCATCGGCCTGCCGTACTCAGCTGATAGGAGGGGATGCAAATAAACGATGCACGTCTACGATTATCGTTCTCGTCGTTGTTGCTGCTTCGTGATTACCACTACGTGATCTTAGTGAGATTTTGGAGTCGTTCTTGATCTGACGGTGGCAAGTGGTGCGGTGCCTTCGAACGAACGTTGTTGTCTGTCGGCAGTAAATGAAACAAATAGTTGCTCCTTCATCTAGTCCAGTCACCTTATCTACTGCCTTATTAGTAAAGCTTTGTTTTTGCTTCGTCTAGCTATCTTCACTAAATCGTTAACTTATACTTCGAGTTTATTTTCCGGTGGCGCCGTTAAGCATCGCCTCAAAATTACCACTATTATTACTATAATACTACTTCTTCTATCATAAGTATTCGAATAGATCGAAAACCGAACAGCTGCCGTGGGAGAAGAGTTCAGCGTATAGTTCCGCTTGACTCAGCAGTGCAAACGGGATACATTGACATATAAGCGCAGCAACAGCAATGGGTATAGACCGCCCCTCCTCCTTCATCCATCCCCGCGCATTTTCATGGTTTTTGAACGAGGCCCGGATAAAATTTATAGCTGGTGACTGTCTGTCTTTGCTGCTAAAAACGTATGTAGGGAACGCCAACATGCGTCGATCGCGGCAGCCCGTGAATGAAACTGTGGTAAATAGTATCGCTAGTTGTAGACGTAGCAGAAGTTGTACCAGCGACGGCAGTTGCCTAACAGCGATACCGGACATAAAACTCAAAACATGTTTTCGTTCTAGCGCCAAGAGAGCTAAAAAATCAACATAGAAGGCAACTGCTGCCCTTGGTTCTACTTCAAAGATGTGTGCACTGTTTCTGCTAGGACAAGTACAGCCTATCAGTCGCGACACCCACTCCACCATTAACGTCTCCTTTATTTGAGGATGGTGCTTAAATTGCTTGGCTATTCCGCTGAGTGCTGCTGGCTATGACGACACACTTAAGAAAACAAGGAGAAGTTACTTGTGTTTATGGGTCTGTTCGCTTTTCTTAAGGCGGCATACTAAACAGCAACTAGTCTGAATCATTAATAAGTGATACGACTACCCACTTTTCAACATTTAGCTAAAAGCGACCCTTATATTAACGAAAATATGGGCCTTGCAGGTTAAACATAGGTTGGCGCCTATGCTTGTTTTAGGCCCGCTATAAAATCAGGGTACGGGAACCTTTCCCTTATTTCTGAAGACAAGACAGTCAAGCTTTTTGGGCTTGTCCTTGGGTTTACCAATGCCCGGCTGTGTCATCTTAATGTAGCGTTCAGTAGCTGTATTGAGTCGAGCACTGGTTCAATGCGTAACGAAGTTGTCCTTAAGCTATGGGTACGGACGCTGGGTTCCCACAAGTCCCAAGTGGTAAAGGCCCAAAAAACCAGTCGCACTGAAGTTAGCCACTAGGGCACTACTGGTGCTTTTATAATGTATACTGACGCTGACTTTGCAAGGCTATCGCAATGATACGTATAAGCCGTACCAGCATCACAGCATTAGCATGAGGTGGACGGGACGCAGCTGCAGATTGTATAGTTGCATTAACTGTGACCCGCCGCTGCTGTTGGTAGTAATGGCGATTAGTACCCGCTCTATTTTCCACCCTGTCGCGTATCTTCCTATGTTACCCAACTAGGAATACCGACTGCAGTGGCTGCCGCTCGAACGCACCGGGGCCAGTGGTGATGATGCCGATGCTCTGCATGTTGTGGCTGCCGTTGGCGTATGGCTTTACGCGCTGCGTTTCTATAACTTGGCAGTACGATAACGATGATAACGTCACTCCCTATCTCTCACGCGCCGGTTATCGTAATAACATTGCTGTGCAAAGTGGTAACTTCGTTGACCACCACGAACAACAGTCGCATTGCGTAGAGTACAATTGTCTCGTGATGACTCGAAAGCGGCTCGCTAGGTCGGGAAGCAGGGAGGAAGAAATGGTTTTTTGCTAAGCAAAAGTAATGCCTTTTGTATTGGTCGAACGTTGGGTGAGTTGGGGTGCCGGAAGTCGGTATTGCATTCAAGTGGGCCTGTTCGTCTGCCTGCATATTAAGAAAGGTGCCTTCTTGCTGTTACTGCTGCAGATAAATAGCAGCGGCCCTGGCTCTCCTCTATCAAGCGGACGCCTTCGAGGCAGCGTTTACCAGCTTTACGCTTATTGCAAGAATGCGACGGTGAATACACTGTCTCCCCGTCACAATGGCTGCGACGGCATATGCAGCGCAGTGTTGTCGGCCAGCCACCATAGCTAATCCCGTAATTTCTTTGCATTACTGCTGCGGCTGCAGCCGAGGCGGCTGTGGCCCTTGGCGACGATTCTCGATCTTCGTTATATTCTGGCGCGCGCTGTTTTTCCTTCTCCAGTGACGACGACGGCGACGACCGGTTGACCCACAATCTACTGATGTACTACAAGCGGTGCTGCTGCCGGTGCTCACTGTTAGCTGGTACTGCAGCTGGCCGTCATGGTGGTGGGTTTCTTTCGAAGGGGCGACAACGGCAATAGTTCAAGCTACGGCCAGTACCCGACAGCTTCTGCTATTGCTATGAAATCGTTTCAGCTGGTTTGCTGCCGATTGGCGCTTGGTCACCAGCCGTTTGAACACTAGCGCGAATGATCAATGAGGCAACTGCCAGCATCACCAGCGCCAGCACAACGACGAAGCGCTGATACTAACGGTACGCTTGCCGCTCTCACTATTTTAGTGTTGGCCGCGGAATAGCCCTAATGGACAACGACGACCACAACGATACGACGCCATCACACACTCAGACAGGCAGACGCTAAGAAGTATAGCCAGTGCACACGGGACGCCTCTGTTGCATCAGCAGAGAGCTCGGTAGTCGCCACAATTCGACCGGTCTCCGAAAAGACCTCATCGGCGTCCCGATAAAAGGGCATTCATTCGTTCGTTGCTTGAAGAATATCACGTTTACCTATCCTATATAGATAAATATAGTGAGAGAAATGTTTTTTTCAACTAAAGTGAATTTCCTTGCCGATTGCTAAGCTAGCGCCTGGACAGCGTGGCAACCAAATTTTAAGAATTGTAATATTTTTGCCATATTAGATTTATGTCGGAGAAGTACTTCGTCTGGCGGAAGCATATAGGTATACCAATACGCGAAATGTTGAAGGGCTTTATTCAGTTCCTTGTTCCTCGTCAAACACAAATACACAATGCTATACACTGGATTTGTATGCTTCGTTGAACGAATAGCTGGTCTATGTAGATTCATAGTTTTTATCAATAATCAGCCAAATGGCAACCAGTCCGTATCAATTAAGAAATCATGCGGTTCGCGTTGCCTCGTAGGACGGCAAGATCACTGTGGGGCTGCCACATTGCGGATGAATGGAGCTACGTATATTTTAAAATGTAGTTGGTTTTGATGATGCGTTAGGGACTATTAAGCCCAGTGCAGGAGGACGGCGCAAAGAAGATGGCGGTATCTTGAGGATGTGAGATTCGAAAGGATAGACATTCTGTCTTCGCATGTACGGTGCTGTTCCTTCATACCCCTCATGTTTTTCGCATTCAATTTTTTTTTGCCTACGTATTCTCTACTTGGGCGCCAAGATACTGCATATGTCAGGCATCGGTGCCCGTGAATAAGCTAATTATTGGATTCATGCGATAAATCTAACGCTATTTTGTCTGGATCGACACATGGCGTCTCCACAATATTTATGGGTAAAATCGCATGACTCGTCGTTTGTTCTATCTAAACAGATTTCCGGCCAAGTTCATATTATCCATATCCGTGCAGGAAAAATGGAGATCTGATTGAGGGATGTTGATCATTCGATTGATCTGTTAATAGAGTAGTGAAATTTAGGTTCTTAACGAGTGAGTGCTTCGGCTAAGCAGAAGCGTAAGCAAATAGCAGTAACATGCCGATGTAAATACGCTCACACAATGTCGATGACGGCAACAACAGTAGCTACTGGCGGTGGTAAAACAGTAATAGGATTTCTGCTGTGATCGGTACCAGTAGAAGATAGCTCTTATTGCAAACACGGTCTAACTGGTTGTCTCTCGAAAAATGTCCGAATCCAATGCGGGAATCTAAATGCAAATCTATTTAGTGCTATATAGTGAGACCTATGCTCTAGCATCGGTCGCGTCAACAACCGGAACGAAAGCAGCGCTCACAACAATGGCAGTCGCCGCCGCCGCCGCCGCCGCTGTTATAAATGGGAGAGGAACGCCACTTAGCAGGTGCACATAAATAAATATATAGCGATGATGAGTGGGAGCAGAAGGGGACATTTTATTGTTGGCGTCCTTACTACTGTATCGAACGAAGTTTGATGAAGCAGACGAAATAGGCATGTGACGATG